GCCCTTGGTTAGTCCTTGGCTGGTCCTTGGCCCTTGGTTAGTCCTCGGCCCTTGGTTAGTCCTTGGTTAGTCCTCGGCCCTTGGTTAGTCCTTGGTTAGTCCTTGGCCCTTGGTTAGTCCTTGGCTGGTCCTCGGCCCTTGGTTAGTCCTCGGCCCTTGGTTAGTCCTTGGTTAGTCCTTGATTAGTCCTTGGCCCTTGGTTAGTCCTTGGCCCTTGGTTAGTCCTTGGCTGGCCCTCTACACTTCCTTTTTAAACATCAATCTTTGTACTAAAATATTCTTTTTGTCATGATTTGTGGACATTAAGATCTAAAGAGAAGCGCCACCTCCTGGTCAGACCCTGTAATTCAGTGAAACGATGGAGTCAGAGTAAAAAATATGCAGGAGGGGGGTCATTCCAGTGGCTGGAAGTTGGAGGGGATTTAGCTGGGAGTTGCAGGGATGTTTGCTGTCATCCAGCTGGTGTTTTACTGGGAAGGACCATTTAGAATGGCTGCTACTGTAGGTACCACTCTTTCTAACACATTGGTGTAGATTCAGTGGTTTGATGGTCAGGTGAGGTTATTCAGGTGGTGTTGATGGAAGTTGAGTATGATGTTCTGGGCTTGTGGAGGTTCTGATTTGAACCTTTTTGTAGAACAAATGTCTTTGGACCTTATGAGTTCCACTTGTTCATTAAATGATTTTTTTTCCCAGGTTTGAATGTAGTTTTGAGCTCATGTTGCTGATGTTAGATTGATGTAATGCTGATTATGTGACCTCTTATTCGTCGCCCTCTGCAGGACATGTGCGTTAGCCGGATGCTAGCGGGAGTCCAGATGTACCAGAACGTGCTGGAGGTTCTGTCCAGCAAAGTGAGCGGTCTGGAGGACTTGAAAGTGGACCTGCGTGACCTGCTGAACCACATCAATAAGGTAAAGCCTTATTCTGTGACCACTCGTCATGTGACCAGGCCTCTGATTGGCTAAAAGGAGTCTGTTTGTTTCAGCTGAAGGAGGCTGCTCAACTTGGAGCGGACAGTTCGGTTCCGACAGCCAGCTCCGACCTGGCGACTCATCTCCAAGACAGCTACAGCATCCAGGTGGCGGTTCACATAACGCTGACTCGACTGCGCGCCTTCTGTCATGACCTGAACCGCACCTTCAGGGTCCTCTCCACCCACAGGCCATGAGCTGCAGGCCCCTTTAAAGGTCTGCTGGATCAGAGTGGAGCTGCTCAAACTATGAAGAAGTTCGTCTATAACTGATCAGCCATCTTCCTGCATCATTAAGGAAGGATGGAAGGAGCAAGAGAAGCCGAAGCAGAGAATCGCAGTTTGCTTCTGTTCTGCAGCAGCTGCAGTTTAACCATCAAAACAGAAGAAGGAGGGCAGCTTTAACATTCCCCTAATCTGCTCATCTCCACTCCTGATCAGATGCAGAACAATCCTGAAGGTCTGAGTTTGTTTCGGCACGTCTTACTTTCGCCATAAATAGGGGATTAGCAGGAATGTGATCGCTGCCGCAGGAACAAATCTGTTGACTTCAAGGAAAGAAGAAAGAGCTGATTGTAAAGCCTGCCGGAGGATCTGCAGGCCTGGACCTGCTCGGCGCTCGGATTAACTCTGTTCTTCTGCTGTTTATCTGGCAGTGAAGCTGCACACTGATAGCGAAAACAACAGCCTGACGATGCGCTGACTGTTGACCAAGCAGCACAGATTCCTATATTTATCACTGCAGAAGCAAACAGAACCATATCTTACATCTATGCTCCTAAGATTTTGTGAACGTTACCTCAGGGCTACAGGTGCGTCAGAATGCCACCTACCTGCAGATCAAAAAGACAAACTCCTTAACGACCAAAAGATGCAGTTTCTTATGAAAAAAATAACTTTGTTCAGTTAGATCATCAGAAAGGAAAGAGGAAGTTAAAAAACATCACTTCCTGTTTCTGTATTTTGTAGTAAAACTTTATATATTTTTTATTTTAGTTTTTTTCTGAAGAAGCAGAATGAAGAGAAAAGTGGGACTAGTTTGTCTTTATAAGAGTAATAGAGACTTTTATTCTGAAAAGCTATTTCACTTCCAGCACTTTTTTTGTTATTTATCATCAGATTATTTTTTTTTATTATTTATTGATGATATTTATAAAGTATTTATTGTTGTATTTATTATTTCTGTTGATAGTTGGATGGTTTTTATTGATTATTTATTTATTTTTAGTGTTGAACCTGAGAGCTGAACTGAAACAGGAAACTGAATCAGGGTCAAATTTCTGCTCAGAGTTCAGGGAGGTTAATGAGGAGGGGGTTGATGATGTCATCACAGTGATGACATCACATCGTCATGTCCTCACATGACCTGAGAACATTCCCGCTGACTCATGTTAAATCCTCCTTCTTCCTGTCTTTGTTTTTATGACAAATGCTCTGTTGGTTTTACAAAATATGTTGAAATTAATCAAAGTAAAATATGTTGATTCGTGCTTTAAAACTCTTGTTGTTCTTCCATTATTTTGTGTTAAAATCCTTTTAGACGCTTTGCTCCTGAGATCAACTGTCCTTTTCTAAACAGGTTGAACTTTTAAAGCATTCAGGGAGTTTTTTTTGTATTATTTCATGTGCTTTAAAACAAGAAGTGGAATAAAATGTCTCAGCCTGTTTCCAGTGCAGCTCAATAAAGGAAGCAAATGAAACAAACTGTCGTATTTAAAAGACTGTTAAAGTTATTTAACTATAGACGAATAAAACCTTCACTAGAATTAAAGGTCAAAACTTTAAACAAAATGATGCTTTAAAAAAACAAAACAAAAAAGAAAACAAACCCTGAATGTCAAGTTTTCATCCATCCATCCATCTATCATCCATCCATCATCCATCCATCCATCCATCCATCCATCCATCCATC